ATCTCTGGTCTCTGTCCGTCCCGACCATCCTACAGGCAGGGATCCCCCCGTGTTTCCTCCCCGAGGAGAGCTTCTCCTGCCAAGGCTTCTCCTGCCAAGGCTTCTCCTGCCAGGGCTCTGAGGCAGCCCCCGGCCGGGTTTTTGGGGCGGTACAAACATCACCCCCCATCTCCCATCTGCACCTCCGCCCTCCCTGCCCTGCCCCAGGCACTGCCGGCCCCGCTGCTCAGACACCAGTGCCGCTGTTGCTGTTCCGCTAATTGCCCGGGATCAATTATTCATTGTGCAGTAATGAAGCAGGGCCAGGGTAGAAAACCCGGCTGTGCAGCGAGCCCTGGGCTCTGGCCGGCCTCGCAGAGGGTGAGGAGCAGAGCTCGGGGAATGGTCCTTGTGAGTGCTTTCACAGGGACTCCCACGAAGATTTTCTCAAGTTTTGGTAGTTCTGCTTTGCATTTCAGGCTTTGCTTTCTTCCCCTCAGCCCCGTGCTGTGCTTTAGATGCTGTTCCCTGTAGCTGTGAGCTTCCTTGGCTCTTAGAAGTCACTTATAAATCCTGAGGTGCTCAACAGCCTTTCACAGAAGTTTCCAATCTGGGGGATCTGGGCACAGGTTGTCCCATGCTAAGAACCCAAATTGTAAAATATTTTCCTTCTGCTTTAGGAAAGATCTACTTTGGGAAGATTAATGTTTCCCTGGATGATGTGGGTGCTCTTTTTTGCATCAGCTGCAATCCAGCTAGGGTGGGATATTGCCTCTAGCACAGGGAACCCACTGCTGTCTGCATCTCTCCCAGAATAACCTTGGTCTCATTCCCATGGAGTTAAATGCTTTTGGGGACAGGTGAGGCATCTCAGAGCAAAGGTCTTTGAAGGGCAGCAGGAGACAGAGAGGGACACAGGGAGGATGGAGCTGCCATGGTTGGGGACAGCCACAAGATTGGCTCCTCCTGCAGTGTCCCAGGAGGTCCATTCACCCTCCTGGGTGAGAGCACAGCTGGAGCAGCACATCCCTTGCTTTCCTGCTCACATCCATGTCCAACAGCCTGCAGGGACTTCCCTGCTTTTCCCAATCCCTGGTTTTGCCCGAGGAGGTACTTGGGTGCAGGGCAGCTCTCTGAGCTGTGTTTTGCCTCCTCTTCCTCAGCATCACCACAAAAGAAAGAGAAAACCTGAGCATCCCCATCAGGAGCCAGGAAAGGCTCAATTAAACTCAATTAACTATCCCTGTGGCCAGGCATTCCTTGAGCCACAGTGGCTCCATGACTGGGAGGAGCAGAGGCTTTGAAATGAGAAGCTGAGAGCATTAAAAAAAAAAAATAAAAAAATCCCGGATCTTTCCTTGCTGGGGATTCCAGGGAATGCCACCTGTGCCAGCACTTCTGGCAGTGGGAGAGCTGGCAGCAGCACCAGGACAAGGGCAGGGCAGGCTCCAGCTCTCAGTGTGCTGTCTCCATGGCTGGGGTTTTCCCAGCTGGAAGCCCCAGCTGTGGGCCACCAGCAAGGCCACATTATTAAAAGAAATGCTAGAGAAGTCAAGGTTGTGCTGGCACTCGTTGAAGTTTTCTCTGCTGGTGAGCTGGAACTGTCCTGGATGTGAGCAGCAGCTCAGAAAAACCTGCTCGAGGTACAGACCAAGGAGCAGAGGCTTTGCAGTTCTTCTGCCCTGCCTTGGTTTCAATAAAACTTTAAAAACTTGAAAAAAACCCTAATTTTTGAGATAGTGAGTGATCCTTGATGGCAAAGAGAACCCAGGGAGTGGGTAACAGGTGCAAGGTTTGAGGATGTTGGAGCAGGCAGGGCAGTGTTGGCTTTTTTTTGGAGTGTGTTGATATTTGCTCAATGAGGAGATCATTCTCAGGAACTCTCTTGCCGTTGCTCTGGTCTCAGACCTATCATCCTCCTTCCCTAAAATGACCCCAGAGAGCCATGCTGGGCTTTGGAGGCAGCTCTTGCTTCTGCTTTCTCTTCCCCTTCTCAGGAAATGCTGCCTTGGCCTCTCAGTCTGAGACAGAAACTGGAAGAGTGAAGTGTGAGATCCTCCAGGGAGGATGGAGTAAATCCCCTCAGCCCCTGGACCTGCCCTGATGCAGACAGGGAAACCCAGAGGCTGGGAATGGCAAAACCACTTTGTTGGGTGCAGGGGAAGATGCAGGTGGTGAAAAAAGGGAAATCTGCACGTGGAGGTCAGGGACACCCAGATGCTGAGAGCAGTGAGACCAAGGCATTGGGAATGGAGAGATCCAGATGTTGGTGCTGGCTCCTGAGCTGCTGCTGCTGCTGCAGTGAGAGCAGGGGATGTTTTGGGAGAGTCTGTGATGTGGAAGGACAGCAGCTCCCTCAGACAGCACCAGCACTGCCTCCACTGCTGCCTCCTCCAGCAGCCCCTTGGCCACAGGAGGTGGTGAGAAGGTGTCAGCCCCCCTCAGGTACTGGAAGAGCTGCTCAATGGCTCCAGGGAGAGCTCAGAGCCCCTGCCAGGGCCTAAACGAGATCCAAGAGAACTGGGGAGGGAATTTGGACAAGGGCCTGGAGTGACAGGACACAGGGAATGGCTCCCACTGCCAGAGGGCAGGGTTAGGTGGGATACTTGGAAGGAATTCCTGGCACAGGTGCCCAGAGCAGCTGTGGCTGCCCCTGGGCAGTGCCCAAGGCCAGGCTGGATGGGGCTTGGAACAGCCTGGGACAGTGAACCCCATGGAAGGGGGTGGGATAAGATGGGCTTTAGGTGCCTTCCAACCCAAACCATCCTGTGAGCCTGTGAAACCTGGTCACATCCCCATCTTTGAGGTCCCAATCAGATTTGGGCAGCAAGGTGGCCTTGGCTGATGAAGTCCCTGGTGCTGATGAAGTCCCAGCCAGGAGCAGGTCTGTGGGCTGGCAGTGATGGCATTGCTGCCTCTCCCCAGCCCAGGTGATGCTGAGCAGAGCTCAGCCCTGTGCAGAGATCATTTCACAGCCCTGGTGATGCTCTCAGCCCGAGATGGAACCGACCCCGGCTCATGGTGAGGCTGCTGCTCATCCCCTCCATGCCAGAGAAGAGCAGCAGAGGCTCTGATTGAATTAGTGCAAGGATTTAATTTAATCCCCAAATGTCTCTCATTTTAAAGGAGCCTGTTCATTTCCTTCTAGGACCTTATCAGATGCAGGCACCCAGCACTGTGAGCAGGACTGGGCAGATAGGCAGGGCTGGGGGAGGGCTTTGTGGGGACTGACTCCAGGGCTGTGTGGGTTTTTCCTCTAATTATTTCATGAGATAATGATGACAGTGATTGCAAGACAAATAAAACATCAGCAGCATCATTGAGGCAGCTCTGGTGCAAATGGGCAGCCTGGCAGGGCAGGGCTGGGAACATTCCCTTCTTACAAGGAATTAATGTGTAATTTCACCCCAAGGGTGGGGTGAGGGAGCATTTGCTTTGTGCCTGACACCAAATCCAGCTGTTTCATGGACAGAACGATGCCATGAAGGGACCAAGCACAATGTGGTCTCTGAATTTGTGTTCTGACTCACTGTGGGAGTTCAGGTGATGCTGAGTTGCTGCTGGGGTGAGCCAGGCTGGTTGGGACAGAGCTGCTGCTCTCTGTGCTACAGGTGACACAGGGACCCTTTGGGTGTGATAAACCAGGACAAGGCACAGCTGGACACGTGTGGGCTCCAGCATCTTCCTGGAAACCCACCCAGCTCTTTGCCCCCTGAGCTCAGGCAGGTGCTGCTGGGTGGTGTCTGTGCTGTCCCCTCTGTGCACAGGGGGCTCACACCCCCCTCATCCCCCCGGGGTGTTTCCTGGAGATGCCAGCAGCTTCTGCAGCCCAACATCTGCACACAGCTGCCTGGGGATGTCCAGGATATCCCCTCTGTGCTCTGGGGAATGAGGGGTGTCCCCTGCAGGGTGGCTCTCCCAGGGGTGCTGTCACAGGCTGGAACCTCCATGGGGATGGAACCTCTGTCCACTCTGTGTGTGCCTCTTCCCAAAGGGATGTGAGCCTGGATGGGCTGACTCCTGGGGCTGCTGCCCCTTTTGAAGCTGAAGTAAGGGGTGTCTTTGTTAACTCCAACTTTCTGGTGTCACTGGGTTTGTGAAAATGCTTGGATCTCAGCTGGGGATTCAGTGACTTTTTCTGGGTGACTTGTTAGCTGGGGATGGTCCTGTGGAAGTCCCTGCCCCAGGACCTGTGTAGGAGGGAATTGCTTCTTAAAGAGAGGATTTTCTCTCCTTTGGTCTTTTTTTCCCTGCTGGGCTGGTTTTGCCCCTTTGGCTTAGACACAAAAATCACACAGGACTCTCTGCTCTGGCAAGGGAGGGCTCATCAGAGCCTCCCTCTGCTCACAAAACCAACCTTGGAGGTTCTTTCCCTCGGACTTTTCCCTTTGAAAGGACAGAGCTTGCTCAGGCCTTCCCCAACAGGCAAAGAGACCTGGAAAAACCAGCCCCAAAGGCAAAACCCCCGGCAGGGGCTGGCAGGAGCGGCTGTGGTTTTGTAGCCCAGAGCCTCGGGCTGAGCTGGGGCAAGGCAGGAATGGGCAGAGCCCGGCGCTTCCCTTCGGCCTTTGATGATAACGCGGTGCAGGAGGGGGCAGAGCTACCCAGGAGCTGCCGGGTTTCTCTGCAGCCCCTGGGGGATCCCTGCAGGGCAGCAGCTCCAGCAGCCATCGGGGTGAGGATGCTGCCACGGCTCTGCCTCTGTGGCTGGAGCCCAGCCGGCACCCTGGGACTCCTCAGAACCCCCCGGTGCTGCCGGGAGCTGAGTGCCACCATCCTGCTCCTGCCTGCCGGGGGACCTGCTGTTCCAGGGCTCAGGAGCAGGACAGCAATGGGTGACTTGGCACCACCTGGGGACATGGGGACGATGCCACCCCACCCCACCAGAGCACTGTTAGCATTGTACAAATCGGTGCCAGCATTGTAGGGGGGCTGTGAGGAGGTGAAAGGCTCCTCAGGAAGGTGCCAGAGAGATCTGGGGTGCTTCTGCTTTCATCCTTCTCCATCTTCTCCTCTGGCAGATGCTGGAGACGGACGCCGAGAAGCCGGGGCAGATGCCCTCGGAGGATGGGAAGGCAGCAGTGGGTGATGCCCCTCTGGCTGCCAAGGCAGCGGCTCTGGCCGAGCCCTGGGACGCTCTGGGGGCCACCCAGGCTCCTCTCCCGGCGGAAAAGCAGCCGGTGGCTACGGCAAAGGGAGAGGAGCAGCCCAGCTCCCTGCACGCCTTTGTCATCCCCGAGCTGCGGCTGGACAGCACCTTCAGCCAGAGCGCCGCGGGCACGGACGGCGAGGACGAGGAGGAGGACGAGGAGGAAGATGAGGACGAGGAGGATGAGGAGGAGGAGGAGGAGGAGGAGGACAGCGACGAGCAGTACCTGGAGAGGAACGAGCTGAAGCGCAGCAGCATGATCGAGACGGGCGGGCAGGCCGGCTACACCCTGAGCGTGCAGGGCTCGCTGCGGCGCCGCACGCACAGCGAGGGCAGCCTCCTGCAGGAGACCAAGGGCCACTGCTTCACCTCCGACACCACCCTGCACTGCCCCGACAGCCAGGGCACCGCCGCACGCTGGGCTCTGCCCTCCCCCAGGACCCTCAAGAAGGAGCTGGTCAAGAACGGCGGCTCCATCCACCAGCTGACGCTGCTCTTCTCGGGCCACAGGAAGGTACGAGAGCCTCGGCTGGCTGTGAGCTGGGACAGCTCCTGGCTGGAGGTGTCCTGCCATGTGGCCCCTGTCTCCATGAGCATGGCAAAGCTCCCTTCTGGGCACTCGGGAGGGTCCCTGCCCCTGGCACCAGCTCTGGAGGTGCCAGCAGCCGGGGCAGGGCGCCCAGAGCAGCGGGCTGGGGCCGTGGGTGGCACTGCCACCACTGCACCCATGGCCTGGGCAGCGCTGTCTGCTGGGACTGCTGGTGGCAGAAGTGCCCCTGGGGATCTGGGAATGCACAGGGCTGCTCCCAGCAGCACTGGGGAGAGTCCCTGGTGACAGTCCCCAGTGTGCAGGGGGTAGAGGAGCAGTGTGACCCTCTGCCCCACCCGCCTTCTGCAGGGCTTTGGCCGCTGTGGGGTCCATCTCCTGGAGAAGCTGTGCTCAGCAGAGATGTGTGACCCCACCTGTGCTGTGGGAGGAGCAGCAGAGGCTGTGCTGAGGCAGCTCTGCCCAGGACTGGCCTGTGCAATCTGGGGGTCTGGGGTGCTCCTGAGCCCCCAGAGCAGAGCTGGCCCTGGCTGCATGGTGCAGGAATCATTCATGGGAAGCCCTGCTCGTCCCCATCCTCCCCAGGTGGCACTGGCAGGGTGCTGAAAGTGACCCCTGGCCCCAAACCCTGCTCTGCCCCATCCTCAGCTCTGGGTGCTGCTCAGGGCTCTGGTGCTCAGCACAGGGCTCCAGTCAAGAGTTCAGGGTGTGCTCCCAGCTCAGGACCTCCTTTCACAGCTCAGAACCATGTCCTGCTGCTTGGGAGCCCCTTGCAGAGCCACATTCTGCTCCAGAGCAATGGCTCCTTGGCAAGGAGAGGCTGCTGCAGACCCTGGAGTTAAACCCATGCTGGGTTAACCCTTTTCCTGCCATGCTGCTTGAAAAGCCACCCTGATGCTGTTTCCTGGACGAATTTTTGGGCTCAGAGTCCCTGACCAGCTGGTGAGAGCCCTTCCCAGGGTTACAGACTGCTGGGATGGGGCTGTTGTCTGCAGGGGAGTCAAACTCTCCTGGAGACTGAGGCCAACAATTGTGTGTGAGAGGAGATGGGGGGTCCAGACCCGCCCTATCCCCGACAAAGAAAAGCCACCCTTGTGTCAGGGACGCGGTCGCTGCCTGTCACACGTGCGAGGGAGGCGGTGACAGCGGCAGCGCCGGCTGGGAGCGTCCCGTGAGCGGTGGCCTGAAGGAGAGCTCACAGTGCCGCTGTGTGTGCAGCCCCGAGCCTGCAGCCCTGAAACCCTGCAGCCCTGAAACCCTACAGCCCTGAAACCCTACAGCCCCGAGCCTGCAGCCCTGAAACCCTACAGCCCTGAAACCCTGCATCCCTGCAACCCTGCATTCCTGAAACCCTGCATCCCTGCATCCCCGCAGCGCTGCCCGAGCTGGGTGGGCTCTGTGTCCCTGCCGGGCCCCCTGGTCCTGCTCGCCCTGCCCCGGGGAGCCGCCAGGGCTCTTCCTGCTCTCACCTGGGGGGATGATGTTTTCCCGGGAGGTGAACGGAGCTCCTCCTGGGTTAAACTGTTCTGGTGCACGTTAGACTGGGATTTTTGGGGCAGGGAATGGCAGCCTGTGCCGGTGGAGAGGGCAGTGTGGTGGCTGCAGCTCCCAATTCCAGGTCTGCAGCAGCTCTGGCTGCCTAGAGCCTAAATCCTTGCCCATGTGTTCTTCTGGGCACCCCTGTCTGTTTCTTCTGTCTTGCTCCCATTGCCTTATTCCCACTGCTCTGCTTCCACCACCCCATTCCCATTGCCCTATTCCCACTGCCCCATTCCCACTGTTCTGTTCCCACTACCCCATTCCCACTGCTCTGCTCCCATTGCCCTGCTCCCATCATCCCATTCCCATTCCCCTGTTCCCACTGCCCTGTTCCCACTGCCCCATTCCCATTTCCCTGTTCCCATTCCCCATTCCCACTGTCCCGTCCCCACTGCCCCATTCCCACCGTGCTCCCATTGTCCCGTTCCCCTTGCCCTGCCTCTCCAGCTGCCTGTGGAGGGAGTGCAGCAGTCAGGGAAGCCAGACACGGGGCTGAGCCACTGTGGGATTGTAGCCCCTGCCTACACTTCGGGAGCACTTTCATTGGTCTGTGCCCTTAAATAGTTCAATGAAACCTCCCAGCTTTTTAGAGCAGGACGCTGATGCACAATTCCCACAGGGAATTCCCCACCAAGCTGTCAAGCTGCAGGGCCTCGCTGCAGGGCCATCACATCCATCAACCTTGGTTATTTTCCCATCTGGGAGTGTTCCAGAGGGGCTCATCCCACAGCCTCTTTTAACACCATCGTGCCCGGTGTGCCTCCCCGTCCCCCCTTCCTGTGGTGGGGTTTGGAGCTGGATGTTTTATCGGGCACGGTGGGGAGCCTGGGGCTCCTCGGGAGAGCTCTGCCGCTGCCTTTTGTCCCCGAGCCCGGAGCCTGCCCGGACAATGGCAGGAAGGCGCGGCCAGCCCGTCTGCCGGGGCCGGAGCGGCGGGGGCCGCATTGTTCGGGCCCGATAAACTCCGGAAAGCCGAGCGCAGAATGGAAGGAAATGTCCGGAACCCCGGGCCCGGGGCTGCGGGGCTGAGAACCCCGGTTCCCACGGCCCGGCCGCGGGGATGATCCTGGAAAGCGCCTGGCAGCTCCGGGGGCCCCGGGGCTTCTGAAACACCCCGCGGCCAAGGCGGGCCCCGAGTGTCACAATGTCCCCTTGGTTCCATCAGGCCCTGCAGAGTCACAGTGCTTCCTGCGCTCCCTGAGGCCCCACATCACCCAGCCCAGGCCATTGCCCTGGTTCCAGTCACTCCCAGTATGATCCCAGTGACCCCCAGTCTCACTCAGTATATCCCAGTCACCCCCAGCATGCTCCCAGTCACTCCCACTTCCTCCCAGATGCTTCCAGCATGATTCCAGTTGCCCACAGCTACTCAGAGTCACCATCAGTGCAGTTCCAGTTGCTCCCAGTATATCCCAGTTTTCCCCAACATGGTCCAAACTGCCCTCAGCATGCTCCTGGTCACTCCCTGTATGATCCCAGTCCCCCTCAGTGTCATCCCAGTTGCACCCAGTATGATCCCAGTTGCACCCAGTATGATCCCAGTTGCACCCAGTCACCCCTAGTACAGTCCCTCTCACTGCCAGTATGATCTCAGTGGCCCCCAGTATAGACACAGTCATTCCCAGATGCTCCAAGTTGCCCCCAATATGGTCCCAGCTGTTCCCAGTGTTGTCCCCTCCAGTATGGTTACAGACACTCCCAGTACATCCCAGTTGCCCCAGCATGGTTCCCCTGGGGGTTGGGATGTGGGGCTAGCCATGAGCATCTGCAGCGTGCAGGGATGGATGGAATGCTAAAGGCCCTGGCCATGGTGATCCCGTGGGTCTCCCTGCCTGGTGCAGGCTTTGTAGCTGTGCTGCTGCTGCCCTGAGCTCATGGCACATCCCAGATCCCCTTGGTTTGTCCAGGCTGCCCTGGAGCAGCAGTCAGAGAGGACACTTGTAAACTGCAATGATGTGATTCAATTATAAGTGAATTGCTCTGATTTCTCCTGCCTGGGGACTGCTGGGAACTCCTGACTGATTTTGGGTGCCCAGCCTGGTTCTGGGGGGCTCTGTGAGCAGTGGCAGGATCCCTGTGCCCATTCAGCAGCAGGAGTAGGAGCATCAGGAGTGGAGATGTGAATGCCCTCCCTGTAGGAGGTTCCACTGTCAGCACCTTGAACCTGGAGGGTACCTAGGCCAGCTGCCCTGGGGTCTCTTTGGATGCTCCAGGAGCACCATGGGCTGAATTGGCAGAGGATGAGTGAGGGCAGGGAGGTTCCTGTGTCAGGAGCTTGTCCCATGTCACTGCCATCCTGAGGAAGGGGCCCTGTGGGTGCTGTGGGTCTGGGCTGTGTGCTGTGGGGATGTGGGCATGCTGGCCCTGCTGGCTTGTGACACAGAGTGACACCGTGGGCACGTCCTGGTGTGATGACAGACACTGTTCTTCTGTTCTCCCCAGCTGAGTGGAGCAGACCCTGAGTGCAGCTGTGACGAAGGGGATGAGACCTCCCGCAAGAAACGCAGCAAGAGCCTGTAAGTGTCACACTGGGGGTGGCATCAGGGGGTGCCAGGGCTGTTTGTGGGGTCAGACACCTCGGCCTAGCCCTGCTGGAGTCCTCAGGATCCCTGTCTTCCCTTGACTTTTTCCAGCAGCAAAGCCACAAACTGGGGTCTCACTTCAGAGGGAATTGTTTCAGGGAGGGTGCGGGGTGTGCTGGGGGCACTGCCCAGCCCAGCTGGGAGCGCCCCCTCCCACCGAGCCCGGGCAGGGTGAAGACCCCGGCTCTGAGGAAAAACAGCGTGCCCGGGTTCAGGGAGAGGACATGGAAGCGCTGAAATCTGAGCTGGGGGCCTCCTTCCCGCTGGCCCCATGCCGGGAGGAGGAATGGGGAGGTGGAATGGGGAGGGTCAGGCTCAGCCCTCGCGGCACATCCGCGGCAGCGCGGTGGGAGCGGGGACCGCGGGGACCCCCAGGGACACCGGCAGCTCTCTGCTGCTCCCGGTAAGGCTTTGGGGTGCCAAAAAGTGGGTGCGAGCAAGGACAAGGCAGCCGTGGCCTTTGCTGTCCTCAAACACAGCTGCAGCTGAGGGGGGCAGGCGCACGAGTGAGGGTGTGCGGAGCGAACTCCTCGGAACGCGGGTCCGGCCGGTGCCGGGGGTGCCCCGGGCCTGTGCCCCGTGCCCTGCGCCACGTGTGCCTGTGCCCTGCTCCCTGCTCACATCACCTGCACCCTGTGCCGGGCAAACGGAGCAGCCACACGTGCTTGGAGCGGCCCAGGGTGCGAGGGGGCTGCGCACGCAGCTGCCCGGCCTCGCCGCTGTGCCAGCGAGCGGCACTGTCGGCCCGCGCTGCCGCATCGCTGCCGCCTATTTTTAGCTCTTTTTATTCTTTCCCCCCCCAGCACTGGAAATGAAAACGAAGCCCTTGGAGCAGGGACGTCCCCCCGGCCGCGTGGGGAGCGGGGCTGGCGGGGGAGGCTGGGCCCCCCCGGGTCAGGGGCGGTTGCGGAGAGGGCTCCGCTCACCTTGAGCGGCGGGGGATGCTCGGGGGATGCTCCGGGGAGCCTTGGCAGCGCCATTGGCTGCGCCGCCCCGTCCCAGCCGGCCCCGGGACTATTTATGGGGCGGGGGCCGCGGGGCCGCACTCGCTCCTCTCCCGGCAGACGCTGCCGGCCTCCATGTACCGCCATGGTGGACTTTTCGGAAAAATACCTGGAAAGGTAGGACAGCCAGCATCCCGCGAGGAAGGGGGATGTGCTGCCCTGGGCATGGTTTGGAAGCAGCGCGGGGTGATGGTGCTGGGCCTCGGGGTCATGCTGGGGTGCTGGGGCAGATCCATTTATAGGGGCAACTCCGCAGTGAAATCAGCAATTATTTTGTGGAATTATTTTTGCTGGGGCATTTATTGTGCAGTGTGGCTGCAGCTGGGGGCTGTGCCTGCCCGTGGCTGTCGCAGCCTGGGTCGGTGCCACTCCTTCTGTGCAAGAGTGTGCAAGAGGAGCAGCATGTGGAAGTTGGGGAGCTTCCTTAGGAGGTGTTTGCCTGGTGTGTTCCAGCTGGGAAATCCACCCAGGAGCCAGGATCACCTGCCTGGTGTGTTCAAGCTGGCCTGGTGTCAAGGGCTGTGCTCTGGGGGCGACCCTCGTGTGTCACACAAGGGTTGTTCAGAGCTCTGCCAGCCCCGCCAGGTGCCCACTGCTGCCCTGCTAAACTGGGAGCACTGCTGGGAACAGCTGGGAGCTGCTGCCCTGCTAGGCTGGGAGCACTGCTGGGAACAACTGGGAGCTGCTGCCCTGCTAGGCTGGGAGCACTGCTGGCATTGCTGCTCCAGGCTCTGTGCATGGCTGGTCCCGTGCGCTGGCGGGTCCCCGGCTGCCGGCGGCGCTGACGGCGCAGCGATGGGAGGCAGACGCTGTTTGGAGCGTGAGGCTCCGTGTTTGGATCTGCATTTCCCACGTTAGCGGGTGCCTGGCAGCAGCGGGAGGTGCGTCCTGCTGGGACCACAGCCCAGGGGGTGTGAAGGCAGTGAAACTGTGTCCTTGAGGGTATGGATGGCAGCAGGGACTGGGGGGAGTGATTGCCCTCTACAATCATTCTGTGGCTCATTGGACTGAGCCCTGGGGTTGTTGCACCTTTTATTTTACCCTCCTGGGACTGGAGAGAGCTGTGGGTCTGGAGAACATCACCTGGGGTGGGGTGGTGCATCCGTGCCCTGAACCCCTCCTGTCCCCCTCGTGTCCCTGGGCATGGCTTGGCCAGATAGAGGTGGCTTCTCTGAGCATCCTTGCTGTGCGACCTGTGGCAGATCCTGTAACGTTAAATTTGCAGAATCAGAAAGAGCAAGAAGTGAAAACTGAAGCTGCTTGCCTGATGAGATGTTGTCGGATAAGGAGCTTCAGATTTAGAGAGCAGAGTCCACATGTGTTGAGAAAAGACTGATGCTCTTAAGTTTTGATAAATACATTACATCCACAGGCAGTGAAACACTGTCTATGTGCACTTTATGATGAGATCGAGGAGAGGTATTTTAAATGGAAGAAATTAAAAACACAGATGGAAGCTGTAATTCTTTCGAGTTATAACCGTTCCAGCCACATGTAATTAAGATAGCAATATACTTACTTTTTAATGAGTGACAGATCAGAGCCATTGGGAGAAGACGGCCAGAAAAGGGAGTGAGAAGCAAGGCCCAAGCGCTAGAACTTGTCCTTGCTGCATTTTTGGGGTTTTTGGGGGTGTTTGGTCCCGGTGCCCGCGGTGTTGGGGTGCAGTGACCGCGCGGTGCCACGCGGGGGCAGCACCGCCCGTCCCATCCCTGCCCGTGGTGGGGGGGGGGGGGGGGGGGGCTCCTTTTCCCACGGCGCTTCCCAAAAATCCGCACAGCTTTGTGTGACTGGCAGCTCCCCGGGGCAACCGCGACCCCCACGGCCGTGTGTCCCTCAGTCTGTCTGCCCAGGGATGCTGGAGCGGGGGGAACCGTGCGCGGGTGACAGAGTGGGGTGTCTTTGCCCCAGCGCCCTGCGCTGCCAACCCCGGCCACTCCTTTAGGGAAATGTCCCCAGGCCGTGTCCCGCCCGGGCTGGCACCGCAGACGTGTGAACACCCGTGGGGTTTGCGTGTGTGGGTGCCCACGCAGGGGGGACACGGGGCAGCGCCGTCCCCGCTCTGCTCCTCAGCCCGCTCCGCCCCGCCGCCGGCCCCGCTGCCTTCCCTGCGCTCTATAAATAACCCTCGTAAATCCTCGCCGTGATTATTTTTCCCCGCCGTCTCTTGAAAGGCCCCACTATCCGCCTCGGCGCTGATTTTTCCACCTTTCCTCAAGTTTCCCCAGCAACGGCAGAGCCGTCCCAGCCAGCGGCGGGGCTGACACAGCCTTTACTCACTCACTCGCCCTCTCCGGGCCGCCCCACGCCGCATTTAAAGCTCTCCGCGCTGAGCCCTCCCACTTCCCGTCCGCGCTGGCCGCTGCGGCAGGAGCGCGGCTCGGGCGGCCGGCAGAGCGTCCCCGCCGCTGTCCCCGCCGCTGTCCCCGCCGCTGTCCCCGCTGCCGTCCCCGCTGCCATGCCCTTCTTCCGCGACCTGTCCAAGCCGCAGCCGCTGGAGTTCCACGCGGAGATGCTGCTGGCGGTGCAGCGGCCGCACACGGGCAGCCTGCAGCGCCGGCACACCATGAAGGAGTAGGTGCTGGTGGGCGAGGCGCGAAGGCACCCGGGGGCCGGGGGTCCCCTCGCCCGCCCGCTCACGCTCGCTCTTCTCTCTAGAGCCAAGGACATGAAGAACCGCCTGGGGATTTTTCGGCGGCGGAACGAGTCCCCCGGAGCCAACCCCTCCGGCAAGCTGGACAAAGTGCTCAAATCGCTCAAGTAGGTGCTCCGAGCTCGGGGACCGTGGGGATGGGGACCGTGCGGGCTTGGGGACAAGCTGTGGTCTGGAGCTCCTCACCTCCGGGGAGGCCGTGTTCACCCCGTTTGGGGAAGCTGTGGACAAAGTTTTTGTGTCTAGAGGAGCATTTAAAATATTTTTTTTTGGCTGAAAATCTCCTGCTGGAGGATGAGAGGTGCTGCCTGCACAGCGGCACCGCAGCAGCTTGGGCTGGAAATTTACCTGACAGCAGCGTTCTCCCAGTGCCTGTCTATGGAACTTTAACTGGCCAGAGGATGGTTTGAAAAACCACTTTGCTCTGGAGATGCTCCAGCAGCTGGAGACAAGCCCTCCCTGCTCTTGCTCCTGGCAGCTTCTCTGGCTGCTTGAATGGGGCAGCTGAAGTCCCATTTTTCCACAGCTCTGCATCACCCAGGGCTTCTTCAATTCTTCCTCAGACACCCCAAGTGCCACAGCTGCCTGCACACACCCCCTGGGGGTGGATTTTCTTCCTGCCAGCCTAAAGGCAGCAGTTCCCTTTTGGCAGAGCTGCTGTGGTGCTGCCTGGTGCAGAGCCTGGCTCTGCCTTCAGCTGCTCTGCCAGTCCAGTAACAAGGTGGGAGCCAGGGCCAGCCCCTCAGGCACACAGTGTGGCTTTATCCTCTGGAAACATTTAGCAGGAGCTGATTTGGGAGCTGGGAGCAGCTGTGCTGGGCTCACAGCCTGGCTTTTAATCCACTGGAAATGTTTAGCAGGCAGCAAAAGCAGCTTTTGCTGCTGAGCTTTGCCAACGTCCGTCCTTCCTCCACAGGCCCGCTCCTGAGGAAGCGCTCAAGTGGGGGGACTCCCTGGAGAAGCTGCTGCTGCACAAATGTGAGTGTGTGTCCATCCCTAACACTTGTGTTTGCTGCCAGGGGAATATCCAGACACGTGCCTGGATAAAGCTGGGATTTCCTCTGTTAATCCCTTCCGGTGTTTGGGGATGCACAAAGCAAAATTAGCCTCTCCCTTGTCTGCACCCCTCCTGCTCCTGCCTGGCCCAGGGGGGATCTTGGGGGCAGGGGCCAGGGAGAGCTTCAGGTGAGGGCTTGGGGAGGAGGGGACAGGGATCCATGGCTGTGCCCAGTTTGGGGCTGTGCAGAGGGACCATGGAGCAGGAGCAGCTTTAGAACATCCTGAAGATGGGAGGACAGCCCTTCTCAGGCACCCCATCCTACATGCAGCCCAGGGGATGGCCAGGGGGTCCTGTCCCCACTCCAGCCCAGCCTCCCTTCTGGCTCTGGCTGCTGCAGCCAGGCTGGGGATGTGGATTCAGCTCCTGGATGGGCTGTGCTGCCCGGGCAGTGCCATCGCTGCCTGTTTGCACAAGGGGCTTTTTTGGGCAGTGCAGGGAGCTGCTTTGGGCTGCAGCTGTGCCAGAGCTGAGGCTCCTGTGGGGCTGAGGCTCCTGTGGGGCTGTTCCCTGTCTGTGAGCAGGAGTAGAACCACGTCCCTGTTTCCCACAGACGGGCTCGCTGCCTTCAGGGCCTTCCTGCGCACCGAGTTCAGCGAGGAGAACCTAGAGTTCTGGCTGGCCTGTGAGGAGTTCAAGAAGATCAAATCCCAGTCCAAGATGGTCTCCAAGGCCAAGAAGATCTTCGCTGAGTACATTGCCATCCAGTCCTGCAAGGAGGTGAGGGCTGGCTCCCACGCTGGTGCGCGGCTCCCGGCACGGTGCCTGCCTGGGGAGCTGCTCACCAGCCCTGGTTCCTCTGCCCACAGGTCAACCTGGACTCCTACACACGGGAGCACACCAAGGAGAACCTGCAGAACATCACCCGCAGCTGCTTTGACCTGGCACAGAAGAGGATTTACGGGCTCATGGAGAAGGACTCATACCCCCGCTTCCTCCGCTCCGACCTCTACTTGGACATAATCAACCAGAAAAAGGGCAGCTCCCCGCTGTAGGCCCAAGGACTGTCTCGGGGCAGGCTGGGAGCTGTGTGTTTACATGGAATTGGGCAGTGGAGGCCTTCCCAGGAGCTGGTGGGAGTCGCTGTGCTGCTCGTGCCCCAGGCCGTACGGACAGGGGGCAGCTGAAGGCAGCGAGCCGGGGCCGAGGGCACCATGGCCGGGCAGGCTGGCACTGCTGCAGCCCCACCATGGCTGGTACGACGCCTTCGGGGTGGCCCTGGCCTGGATTTAGCCTGGAGGGAAGCTCCCACAAGATACTGTGAAGCACCTGCCCCAGCCAGGAGTGTTGCTGGAAGGTGGAGAGTGAGCCCAGCTCGGCGAGGAGGAGGAGGGGATCTCGTGCAGGGCTCTGGCGAGGGGACAGCAGCACCAACACAGATGTGGTCCTGGATTAAAGCCTTGTGAACTGGAGCAGCCCCAGGATGCTGCTGTGCTTCCCTGTGCCCTGGGGCCTCCTGGCTGCCCCGAGCAGCTCTGGCAAGAGCCCGGCGCTTCCTTGGCTCGTGGTTGGGTCCCCCTGGGAGCAGAGAGAGCTGGGACCTTGCCCTGTGCTGGAGGGTGCAAAGCACCCCCTCCTGCCCTCACCCCTGGTTTATTTATTGCCCTCCTGTAGCTGGACACGTGTCTGTGTGCTAGGGAAGCCCCGTGTCCTCCCTGTTCCCAAGTTACAAGTGCAATATTTGTGTGTGTCGCGGCCGAGTTCTCCGGCGGAGTGGATGCCTTTTTCTTTTTGCAGGTGTGTAGATTTTGTAAGGTAGCAGGTTTTGTGTGCCAGACCCATTCCCTGGCAGCGGGCCGCTGGGGGAGCCTGGTGTAAATATCAATTACTGATGCCCTGACGACGGAGGGTTTGGTGATGGAGAAAAGCAGAAAAGCAACTCTGTGCAGCAGCCGCTCTCCTGACTCTGGATAACAATGCTGTGGTTGGGAAGCAGGGGTTCCTGCTGGCCCTGGCAGGGCAGGGTGCACTGCCTGCCTCCCAGTTTACAGTGCAAAGCATCTCTGCAGCTAGAAACAAACCTACATTGTCATGGTCATAGGTAAATAAAAGGAGAATATCATTTCTTGTAGCTGGCTTTTGTTCATGCCGTGTTTGTCAGCACCGGTGGAGCCGTGCAGCCCTCGCCTTGCTGAGGAGTGTAAAATCCTGTTACTGTGTGCCTAAAGAAGGGAAAATCTGATTCCATGAATTTCTGAACTGTTTTTTATGATGGAGCAGCTGCCAGATGCTCCTGAGGCCAGGTCTGGGTGTAGGAGCAGAGTTTTGCCCAAAGTGAGACCGTTCCCAAGGCCAGTGGTTGCTGTTAAACACAGCAGGGCACAAAGCTCTGAGCAGGGAAATGCCCAAACACGCCAGTGACCTCCTGCAGCTCCAGGTCCCTCTGGGGACACACCAAAAGCAGCAGCAAAAGGCTGTTCCAGGTCTGTGCACAGCTTGGCAGGGCTGCTCCTCCCCAGCAAGGGCAGTGCTCTGGTGTGGGATGCAAATATTTTGTAAAGGCTGTTCAGGGTGTGTTTGGTACCTGAAGTGCCAGCTGGTTGTGGTGGGCCTTGGATGGCTCAGGGGTGTGACTGTGGTGTCACAGGGCTGTGCTGGGCTGTGGTGTGGCTGCCCAGAGTGCTGCTGGGGATGCCCAGGGCTGTGTGGCTGCCCCACCTGAGCACAGCTCTCCCCAGCAGGTACCATCTCTGTGGAGCTGCCTGTTTTCCCTATTCAGACAACCAGCAGGTGAGGCAGAGCTGAGAGCTCTGCTCAGGGCTTGGCTGGGACAGCAGGTTGGTGAGGTGGCTCTCCTGGTGGCTCTCCTGGAGATGCTGTTGGCAGCCCAGGGTCAAGGTCCATGGATGGGGTCCCAGTGGTGCCCCAGTCACTGACCCTGGAGCTGCTGGGACCCGGTGGGTGGGGGCACCCTCCCAGCTGCCTCCTCCAGGCCAGGCCCTCCTCTTTCTCCTGGCACTGCCCAGAGCTTTCATCTCCTCTCCTTCCCAGCTGGGAGGGTTTCCCTTTGTGTCTGGACTCAACACAGATTTTCTTGCACCTCCCCCTCTCTCCATCTGCACTCTCCTGAGCTCCTCACTCCATCCCAAACTGTCATGCTAGGAAACTTACAGCAGGGTCCCTTAATTGTCCCCTTTTTCCACGTTCCCAGGCTCATTGGGACACCCCCAGAGGGTCTGGGCTTGGGGGCTCTGTGGGCACTGGGCAGCTCAGTCCCTGCTGTCACCTTCTCCCTGCCCTGAGCACAGCCCCAGCAGCCCTGGTGCATCCTGTGGTGCTCCTGATGCCCAGGAGCATCCCAACCCCATAACCTTGCTGGGTTTTGAGTCTAAAACCTGCCTTCCCTCCAGGAATTATCCCAGCCCAGTGAGGCAGGGAGGGCAGGAGCTGCCATGGGATGTGTGGGGTGGGAATCTGGTGTTCAGCTTTGATCCCTGCAGGGGACAAAGGCCCCGTGAGGGTGGAGAAATGAGGACCTGGGCTGACTCCCTGGAAAGATGAAATAGCCCTGGGTGAGTGGCAGGAGCTGGGTTATTGCTGTAAGAGAATTTATTGCTGGGTTCCAGGCTGGCCTGAGTCACTTGGCAAACGCCATCCCCACGTGCCTGGGCACACTCAATTTCCTGGAAGGACAGGCTGGGGCAAAGCTGGAAGGGCCACGTGCTTTTTCCTTGTTTTCCTGGGATGGCCAGTGCCCCCTGCACAGGACAGGTCTAGCATGAACTCAGGTCTCCTCTTGGACTCTGTGGTGACACTGAAGCCACAGCTTTGTCCTGTCTGTGCTGTGGGAGAGGGGCTGTGACAGCTTCTCCAAGACTTTGTGCTGCAGAGCAGAAGGTGTGAGAAGCTTGGAGCTTCTGCATGGGAACTGCTGAGGGAAGTGAGCCCATGGAGGGGGCTTGTGCTGGGACATTGGCTGGGATGGAGATCCAGCCCAGGTTTGTGCTGGGACATTGGCTGGGATGGAGATCCAGCCCAGGTTTGTGCTGGGGACATTGGCTGGGATGGAGATCCAGCCCAGGTTTGTGCTGGGGACATTGGTTGGGATGGAGATCCAGCCCAGGTTTGTTCTGGGACATTGGCTGGGATGGAGATCCAGCCCAGGTTTGTTCTGGGACATTGGCTGGGATGGAGATCCAGCCGAGGTTTGTTTGGGACATTGGGGATGGAGATCCAGCCCAGGTTTGTTTGGGACATTGGGGATGGAGATCCAGCCCAGGTTTGTTTGGGACATTGGCTGGGATGGAGATCCAGCCCAGGTTTGTTCTGGGACATTGGGGATGGAGATCCAGCCCAGGTTTGTTCTGGGACATTGGGGATGGAGATCCAGCCCAGGTTTGTTGGGGGACATTGGTTGGGATGGAGATCCAGCCCAGGTTTGTTCTGGGACATTGGTTGGGATGGAGATCCATCCCAGGTTTGTTTGGGACATTGGTTGGGAAGGAGATCCAGCCCAGGTTTGTGTTGGGGACATTGGCTGGGAGGGAGATCCAGCCTAGGTTTGTTGGGGGATGTTGGTTGGGATGGAGATCCAGCCCAGGTTTGTTTGGGACATTGGTTGGGAAGGAGATCCAGCCCAGGTTTGTGTTGGGGACATTGGTTGGGAGGGAGATCCAGCCCAGGTTTGTGTTGGGGACATTGGCTGGGCTGGAGATCCAGCCCAGGTTTATTGGGGGACATTGGTTGGGATGGAGATCCAGCCCAGGTTTGTTTGGGACATTGGGGATGGAGATCCAGCCCAGGTTTGTTGGGGGACATTGGTTGGGATGGAGATCCAGCCCAGGTTTGTGTTGGGGACATTGGCTGGGATGGAGATCCAGCCCCACTGCCCTGAGGGGACACAGGGAGCTCTTACAGGGACACTGAGTTTACAGCACAGAAGAGGAAGAGAAATGTCCTTCTGTAGCATAAAATCAAATATCCAGAACAAAATCCAGTCATGCCAAGAGAAGAAATTCCTGACTCTTTGATGCCAATGCCACAAGCCTGCATGAAGGGAATGGGAATTAGGTATATCCCTAATTCCTAATTTGAGCCACAGCCTCAACCCAACTGACCCTGCTGGAGGGACATTCCCAAGGCAGCAATGCTGGGATCAGGGGGGTCACCGGGCTGGGGGTGGCCCTGGGGGAGGAGAGGGGACATTTCCTGCCCTGAAGCCACCCAAGAAGGGTGACAGCAGGAGCTGCTGCCTGTCCTGGGCTCCTCCCAAGGATCAGGGATGTGGGGAAGAGCTGCCTGTGGACATCACTGGTGCTGCAGCCAAAGAGAATTTCCCAGTGTGGAAACTGGTGCCTTCCAAAACAGGGAGCACCTTATCTCGGCAGATAACGAGGATTTATCTCTGGGCTAAAAATTAGTGGTTGCTGAGTTGCAAATAGCAGCAGCTCAGCCGTGTTTGTTGTGTGCAAACAGGGCAAAGTCCACCCAGGTGCTTCTTGTTCATCCATGGCACAAAGCTCACCCAGCTGAAGGAAAAGCTCCCAGGGAAGGGATTTATGTGGGAAAATGGCAATTATCACCAGAAAGAGCTGAAAGCTTCAAAAACTGACGTTTTTGAGAAAGGTAAAATGTCCTAAGGTCCTGGGTTTAACGTGATGGTTCCTTCACATCCTCAGGGATGACGAGGTTGGGATGAACAAAAAGCACTTGGAGAGGTGGGAAAATGTGTCACCTGTCCCAGGTGATGGCCTTGACTCTCCAGGTGTCCCTCAGGTCAGGATTGCATCAGCTGTCTGACGTGGCTGGCAGCCAGGGATGGGTGCTGGGGTCACCTGTGAGTCACAAAAGCAAAGGAAGATCTGAATGTGGCAGCTGAAAATGCAGCTCAAGCTGCTGAGCACCTCTGGCATGAAGATTTATTGGGAGAAGGGGATGAGGAGGGAGAGAAGGGAATGTGGTCATCCCAGGTGAGCACCTGCAGCACTTGGGCTGCAAGGAGCCTCATTCCAGAGCTGGCTGCAGGCCAGGAGCACAAAGCTTTTCTCCTCTTTCTACAGAAACAGAACTTTGCCTTTTTTTTCAGGCGTGTCCTGTGCCCTAAGACACTCCAGCACTGCTCAGCCTTTACTGGGCTTTTCCAAGGCACCCATCCTGGAGGACAAACTTACCCAAATAAACAGAACTTTCTACTGAGCAAAATTATTCCTTGGACCCCTGATTAGACAAATGCTCTCAGAATAGAAGCAAGGCTGCTTTCCAGCCACAGACTAAACACAGCTCAGCAGTTTGATACGGAAACCACTGGCACAAGAATTCCCTGCCTGGAGTAAACAGCTGAGCTGCTGTGACAGTCCCTTCACCCTGCTCACGGCTCCTGAGGCTTATCAGGAGCACCCTGAGCTCTAATTTGGGTGCTGAGGTGCCCAGGAGCTGTCTGGAGCCCCACCACAGGAGCAGCCAGCTGTCTGCAGGGCGGGGATGGAGGTCAGCCTTGGTCTGGCTTTGTCTGGGGCCTTTGGCACCCCCTGGGTGTGATAAGGGTGCAGAGTCTGTTTGTCCTTCCTGCTGGTGACCCCAGGGCTGGGCTGGGCAGGGGAGGGGGTGCTCAGCTCATTGTCCTGCCCAGGGTGCCACAGATGCTCTTCCAAAGCATCCCTGGACTGGGGCTGGCAGGAGCAGTGCCACCAACCTCTGCAGGTGGCATTAACGATGTCACCCCCAAACAATCCAAGGGAACAACTGCAGAGAAAGTAAAAGGCTTCTGAGGTAAAAATAAAACCAGACTCAGAGGTTTCTGTCAAGGATACAAACCCAGCTTGGCTGGGCCGGGGCCAGGGCAGGAAATGCAGCGGTGCTGGAGTCCCCTGGGTGCCTCCAGCTCAGTGGGGAAGCATTGTTGTGGCCCTCTCATTGCTCATTTTCTGATTCTTCCCTGCATGAGGTCATTTTTACTCAGCCCATCCAGCTCACACATTCCCTGGAGCTGGGGAGGAAAGCAGATAATGCTGAGTGCAGCCTGGGGAGGATGGAGCAAAGGATGGTGGAAAACGCTTTGATTTGTGGCTGAGCAGGGCTGGGACACAGGGAGGGGACAATGGGGACCTGCCCCTCTCAGTGACCCCCTGCCAG